TCCAACGCTGGACCCTGCAATTATACGGGGTAAAAGCTTGTGTTCCACCAATGTCTTTGCCACACCGACATGAAAAGCTCCCAGCGAGGCCCCTCCGCTTAAAAGCAAAGCCGTCCTTCCGAAAGCGTGTCTTGTTTCATGCATGAAAGCTAACTTCTCCTCCAACAAAAGTTCCTCAGAATCAGAATCACAAACCATTCTTAACTGAGTTGAAACTTCATCAATATATTCCTTAATAAGCTTTGGAACATGCAGCCTTCCCTTGTGTAGTTGCGGGTTGCACATGTTTCCAAGGTTTCTGACAAGGTCAGCTCTCATACAGAACATAATGTCTCTGAGAGAACCTTCTTGGCGACGATGCTGGAGCTCTTGGAGCTTGTGCATAACAAGTTCAACATCATAAAGATCTGACTCTTTAACTTTAAGGGTCTCTTTGTCTAACATTTTAGCGGCATGAGCCCATTCTTCATAGCTTAGTGCGGATTTCATCATGTTCCTCCAAAACTTCCTCCTATAGGCCATCTCAGCTTTCACTTTTATGTTAGTGTATCGTTTCAACAAGAATGCAATGAATATTACTAATGCTAGAATTCCTTGCGGGTTGCGAGGATGAAACCACGATATCACGGGTGTTATGTAAGCATTCTTTGCCTTAGTCAAGTAATAGAGCAAAAATTGATAAACCTGAAACCTTAATTGTGCCAGTGACTTGCAGAATAATATTTTGAAAGCAATCGTCCTGCCCAAAATTGAAGATGGTCCGATTTTGGAAAACTCAACACTTGACTCGCTGCTAACATCCATTCCACCTCAATACCAAGGAATCAATCCTAAACAGTCCTCTAGATTCTTAACAGCAACAATAACCTCAGAGCTCTCTCCGACTCACCAACACAACAGTCTACCAGTAGAGGATTCACATAAATAAGTCGCGATTAAGATATGCTAATCAGAGTATCTGTCAAGTTTGTTTGGCTGAAGCATGAATCATAGGTTTAAGAAAGTCTTGAGAGGAAAACCTAACCTTTGTTTTATCCTTGGGTCTAGAATAATGAAGATTAAGCTCAGATCGCCTAGAAGAACATGAATTTGACCAGGAAATCCGCAATAACATCCAAAGGGGTCACTGGATCATCCTTACATTCTGGCACTGAAAATGAAATTCAAGCAACCTGAAAGAAAGGATACTTGGAGAAGGAAACTCTTCTCCTCGGGAAATCCGCCAAAGAAGGAATCAAATTTCCTACTAAACCGCGGAAATGACGGAATCAAGGTGCTCAAATCGAGAAGCGAAATGCGAAAGTGAGGCGCTAAAATCCAAATCTAAATCAAACGTCTCCAAGGGAAAAGAAACCAAACTCTTTCCAGATAAATAAGCGAGCTAAGCTGATTGGGGCAATGGGCGCTCCCAGTTCAGGACATCACGTACACGTAAGGGAGATAGATATAGAATAGAATGTCGGAAGATGAATTATTCTTGATCAATTAGTGTTTTTTTTGTTATAAAATGAGAAATTTTAACGAGATAATATTTTTTTTTACACTTTTTTATTTTTTTAATAGTGATTACAATATAGGGATTAAATTTTTATTTATAATGTAGATGCTTAATATGAACACCAATACAAATACAATAAGAACACCTCTATAAGTGGAGGGAACGGTACATTTTGTTGCTACAATTAATATATTATTTAGACATATAGAAAAAGATGATGTAATTAATTGAAGAATGAATTATTCACTAATTTCATAACACTCTGTTGGAAATGAAAGGATCTAATTGTATTAAGTAGCTCAAATTGTGTATTACATGGTTAAGTCCTATATATAGAAAATGAAAAACAAGTAACAACCAAAAATATTTTCTTAACTAACTAACAAACTATGTAACTAATCAAGTAAACAATTGCTAAATTGTGATATACACCAACACCCCCCCTCAAGTTGAAGGTGGGAACAACTTCAACTTGCAACTGAATAAGATCCTTGTTGACCATGCATAGACAACACACTTTTCTGCCCAACATGTCATAACCATCTTTAGTATTGTGAACTTTGAGGACATCATCTCCTCAGCGGCTCAGCTTGTCCAACATCTTTCTCCTCAACTTGACCAGCAAAATTTCTCCTCAATTTGACCAGCAAAATGCATTTACAAGCTCACCAAGGGCAAAACCTGTGCTGGACTTTCACTGAAATCACAGGACCTCACAGCTTTGTTTTTTAGCGGTAAGACTTTATTGCAGTATTGTCATGGAGTATGACATACATACGCTGCTTGACTTGGCTATGTTGGCATCAACCATATGGGTCATTTATACCATCCGCTTTAAGTTGAATTCCAGCTTTATGGATGACAAAGATACATTTTCAAAGGCAATTAATCAGCAATTGATTGATATTTTAGTAGAAATCAGTGATGAACTAGTGATGAACTAGTGATGGCTGCAATGGTTCTCCAAAATGAACAGAAAATGAACCATACACAATCGATGATGAAGATGAGATGACAAATCAATTGATGAATTCACACGAAAACATCAAAGGATGAAATGAAATCAATTGACAAAAGCAATTGATGAAATCAACCGAAAACCGGATGATGATGATGATGAGAGTGAAACTCGATCAAAACGATTCGAGTGAAACTCGATCAAAACGATACGAGTGAAACTCAATCAAACCGATTGAGTGAAATTGATCATGATGAAACTTCTGAATTTACAGAAGTGAAAGAATGACTGAAACTAAACATTCCAATCATGAAAATGAAAATGAAGTTGGATACTCAATTTGAGAACCAACACAATGAACAGAGGATCAATATGGATCAACTGTGATGAAACCTGATTTGGAGAGATCAATAGACTGAGATGGCGTCAAATTGAAGTTTTCTCCACTCGAATTGACATCCATTGATGAATTATCAACAGAAAATTAGTGGACAGGAGCGGCCCGAGCACCGATACCGAGGTGATTGAAATCGGAGAGGAGGCAATTCCAGATCGCCGCCTGAGAGAGGAGACTCAGACGGTTGGCCAAATCAACGTTGGCCAGATGAAGAGCCTCGTTTTCCCGACGGAACGAATTGATCTCCTCCAGAGATTCGTGGAGGTTAGCGAGACAGAGAGCGTAGCAGTTGTACAGCTGCTGGTACTAGAGGATGAAATTTGCCAGGAAAAACCGACGTTCAGTCGGAATTGCTTCAGCTTCGTTGATCGAGGTCTTAGATGGAGATCGAGAATCGCGATCGAAGATCGAGGAGAAATCCTTCCTTGAGTAGTCGGCTGAGTCGTACGACGGCGATAGAAACGGATTGCAGCAGTAGATCGGTGATGAGGATCCGCCGGAGAAGGAAATCTCAGCGTCGGCAACGGATCGCGAAGTCGAGCTGGCAGAATACAGATGCAGAATTATCCTTCGCCATAGCAACCTACCAAGTGATATGATGAGTCAGTGATGAGATGATTGCTTGACGATTCAGCTTCTTTAGAGATCTGGAGAGTTTCCGCCATGAAAGCAAGAGAGAAATTGAAGATAATGAGCCGATTGGGTGGAGCTAAACCAACCGCTCTGATACCATGTTGGAAATGAAAGGATCTAATTGTATTAAGTAGCTCAAATTGTGTATTGCATGGTTAAGTCCTATATATAGAAAATGAAAAACAAGTAACAACCAAAAATATCTTCTTAAGTAACTAACAAACTATGTAACTAATCAAGTAAACAATTGCTAAATTGTGATATACACCAACACACTCCCCCTTGCATGTTTATTTTTCAATTAATGATATTTATTTTGTGAAATAGGCACAGTTTTGAAAGTCATTTTAAACTTATATACTGTCTCGTTAAAAACCTTGTAAGAAAAAACTCTGTGGGATAAGAACCTGATCAAGAGAAAAGGAATGTAGTGCATAAAATTCTCCCCCTCAGCTTAGCATAATTGACGGAGGCGACACATGCCAATCTTATTTACAAGTTCTTCAAATATCTTTGGGAGTAACGTTTTTGTAAATAAATCAGAGGGCTTCTCACTTGACTTGATTTGCTTGATGTCAACCTTTCCATCTTTCTCGAAACCATGTGTTGAGAAGAACTTTGGTGATATATGCTTTGTTCAGTCTCCTTTTGATGTAGCCTACTTTAACTTGAGCAATGCATGTAGTGTTATATTCATATATAAGAGTCGGATGGCTAGTGTTTGTTTCTATACCACACTCGCTATGGATATATTGGATCATTGATCGCAACCAGAGACATTCTCTACATGTTTCGTAAAGAGCTATCAACTCAGCGTGATTTGGTCATATACTCCCTCCGTCCCCCATAGATCTTCTCATTAGCCCTTTTTATTTGTCCACCATAGATCTTCTCATTACCTTTTTTAACACTTAAAATACCACAACTACCCCCACTTACTTTATTTATTACATCTCGCCTACCTCATTTAATACACTCCACCCATTTTCATTAAGGGTATTATGGTAAATTTTCACCTTTTTTCAACTCTCCTAACAAACCGCAAAAAGTCAAAACGAGAAGATCTTAGGGGGACGGAGGGAGTATGTTGCATTTGTGCTGATTTGTTCATTTTTTTATGACAACATGTATGGTTTGATTAGGCAAGAGTTGTGTGCTGATCTTGATGCATTTAATGCTAACACATGCAAGAAAAAATGATTTTACTTGCTGATTTTTTTTAGAAATCTACTATACTCTTGCTGTTTTTGTCCCTTAAGAGTGCTCCTTGCTTCAAATATGAACTATAATTGATATATCTTGTTTGAGGACAATATTTTGAAGCATGCCATGATGTTTTTATGCTGATTTTGACACTTTAGGGGCTGAATTTTAGAAAAACCTGATCTAAAGTGCTGTTTTTTTAAAAAATCTGCATCCGTAAATGCTTATGTGCTCAAACATGAACACTAGTTGATAAAATATGCATATGAACTAATTTTAAAAGCATATATCATGACTTTATGAGTTAGAACATGTCATATATGCTAATTTTTTATGAACATTGAGCTACTTTTTTTTTTAAAAAAAATCAGATCTATGCATACGATTTTTTTTCCAGAAAATCTGCATTTTTAGTGGTTTGCATGCTGGATCTGTGTTCTTTGGGTGCTTCTACACCTAAGCCTTGAACCTTTCTTGCTACTTTTTTTAAAGAACTGATTTTAGAAGCATGGCATGTTTTTCGAAGCTGATTTATGACTCTTATATGCTGAAAAATGGTTCATCCAAATTGAAGTGAGAATCTGATTTTGTGCTTTTGGTGAAAATATTTGAGTGAAAGTGGAAACAAAAGTGGAATTCTTAATTTACCTTTTTTTTGTGTTTTAAAGACACATTTTTGCTTACTACTTCATGGTTTAATTGAATATATGTATTGGCAAATATTAAGTTGTGTCTAGCCAAACACGCTAAATTGGGCGGCTTATGGGAGGCAACCCACTTTCTTTTTAAGTTTTTCTCATCTTTCTTTTAAAAAAAGTTCTCTTTACTTCTAACTTCTAGTTATTGTTGTGCTTTTTCTTTTGTATTTGTATATTTGTTTCACTACTACAGAATGGATATTTAACAGCACATTTTGCAGAGAGGATATTTAATAACCGCTGTATTTTCTTTTGGGGCAAAAAAGGCGTGCATCCAAAAAAAAAAGCACCGCACCCCTAATTTTTCAAGAATACTTTGCCCATCCCATAAAAAAATATCCGCTGTATTACATACATCGCTGGTTACTTTGCCTAGCAATTCCCAAATTAATATAGATCACTGCTTATTATAGACTACCCCTCGCTCAGTTCCCACAGTTCAACGCCATCCTCTGTAGCGAGCATCTTATCGTCATCGTCCTATTCTCAAGTCACGTCGACGATTGTAATTGCCGGCCATGTGCGAGAATAGCCTATCTCCGTACGGTCACGAGAGCAAACGATGTTAGCATCTCAGATCCCTCAAGCCCTAGGCTAGAAATTAAGGTTAGCTACGCTCAATTTTCTTTACATTTACTGCGAATTTGCTTTCTCAAACTTCTCTTTGTTGAATCCTCTCTATGGCACAAAACAGTTTAGATTCTGTAGTTTGAGACCAGAGGTCGGTGATTGGGGTTTGGACAACAGATTCTTGTTCTGAACCCACAATCTTGACCTGGAATTGGATATCTAGATAATTTGATGCAAATATTCCCCTTTTCTGGTTCAAATGAAAATGTTCTTGTTTGATGCACATATTCACCTTTTCTAGTTTGATGCAAAGATTCACCTTTAAACTGGCAAATATGCATGTTTTTTTAAAGCATAGAAAAAAAGATGACTGACATAACCCCCCACACCACCAAAAAATTGCATGTAGGTACATACCTTGTTACAGTGACAAATAAAAATTGCATGCAAGAAAAAATGAATTTACTTGCTGATTTTTTTAGAAATCTGCACTACTCTTGCTGTTTTTGTCCCTTAAGAGTGCTCCTTTGCTTCAAATATGAACTATAATTGATATATCTTGCTTGAGGGCAATATTTTGAAGCATGCCATGATGTTTTTATGCTGATTTTGACACTTTAGGGGCTGAATTTTAGAGAAACCTGATCTAAAGTGCTGTTTTTTTTAAAAAATCTGCATTCTTTTCTTGATGTATAAACTGATTTTTGAGTTCCGTAGATGCTTATGTGCTCAAACATGAACTCTAGTTGATAAAATATGCATATGAACTAATTTTAAAAGTATATATCATGACTTTATGAATTAGAACATGTCATATATGCTAATTTTTTATGAACATTGAGCTACTTTTAAAAAAAAAAAAACCAGATGAAAGGTAAATTCTACCAGTCCGTAGTCAAACCTACTATGTTATATAGGGCAGAGTGTTGGGCAGTTAAGATGACTCATATGCGTCGTCTGCATGCGGTGGAGATGCGGATGTTACGATGGATGTGTGGGAAGACAAGGTTGGATAGGATTTCGAACGAAGTTATCCGACGTCAGGTAGGCATGGCGCCGATGGAAGATAAGCTGCGGGAAGCGAGGTTGAGATGGTTTGGTCATGTGAGACGGCAGAATGTTGGCGCCCCTGTACGGAGATGCGAGAGGATTACGGTCGTCGGGGGAAGTAGGGGAAGGGGTAGACCTAGGAAGAAATGGAAGGAGGTGATTAGGCAGGATTTAGGACTTCTCACACTGACTGAGGATATGGCTTTAGATAGGAACCTTTGGAGAACTAGGATTAGAATAGCGGGTTAGGGGCCCGGTGCCTCAGAGGTTTTTTGTAGAGTGTTTTGTTTGGTTGGAATCCTTTGCTTTTGCTTGCAGGACTTGCATTCCATTGTACTTGGTGTTTTATCTGTGTTCTATTGTGCCCTATCATTTTTTTTGTGCAAGTTGGAGCCGGGGGTCTCTTGGAAACAGCCTCCCTACTTCCGAGTAGGGGCAAGGTCTGCGTACACACACCCTCCCCAGACCCTACTGTAGTGTGATTCAACTGGGTTATTGTTGTTGTTGTTGTTGATCCCGACCCTCTAGATGAGGGCCTCCGCCTCCGTCACGCTAATCGGGGGTGATGGCCTCCGGTGGCACTGTTCTCGCCCTGGTGGGGGCTCTGGTACCTAAATTTTCGTTGCTACGTGTTTGCACCATCGCCTTCTTGGAAGGTTTTTCCTGAGTATGATCCTCGAGCTCTCAATGAAAGCACCAATTTGATGGACAATAAATCCACCAAATGATCTGATTCGGAAGAATGAATCACAAGAAATAAAATAAGAACAAGAACTCGAGAATTATGTGTGTGTATTGTTAGCTTGATTTAGCTTGATTTAGCTTGAGTTTTCCCATCTCGGGTCCCCTCTATTTATACATGAATTCTTGATAATTAAGGTAATTCATAATCAAAGGGAGTCCATCCCGTCGATGGCGCGATCCCCTTTTTCCGGCTCCGTCTTCGCTACTCAGCTGAGTCTCCTCCTGTGGACTGGCTCTGCCAGCTGTCTCTTGGGTTGGAATGGTTCGGGCTTCGTGTTATGGGCCGGCCCAAGTCCAAGCCTTCCCCGTGTGCTTGACCCGGAGTCTATTGGATGATTAATTTGGGCCGCCCGCTCGATATCGGCCCATCATTGATGTAATAGTACTTGTAATTATATGAATATTTTTTTCTTTTCTCTTTCATTTAGTTTTTTAAGTATAAAATAAAAAAAAGTGATCTTGTTGAGCTTAATTGTTGCTTTTTTTCTACTTATGCTTCTAATTATCTACATTGAGAGCTTTTGCAAGATTTATTGAGTTTTAGGTGGAAGCATAGGTGTTTGAAGTAAAAATCTGCACATTATGATGTGAAAATCTGTTTTGAAACAAGGGCTCTTAGTTCCCAGGTATTGGTATACTATTAAATTTCAAATTTCGTAAGCCTTGGGTGTTTATATTTGATCATTTATGGGTTGAAATCTAAAAATTATGCACTTTTAAGGCTGATTTTTGGGTACTAATGGAAAAAATCTGCACTTCTCAATTTAATTTTTGAGCTTAAACTGAAAATATGCACTTTGTAAGTTGTTTTTTTAGTATAAAATGTATTAGGAAGTATAATTAAATTAGGATACTTCTTTCCTTTCCTACTAGGATTATTCTTTCCTTTCCTACTTGTACTTTGATTACTCTTGTATTCCCTATATATAGGGCCATATCTCTCAATATTCAATAAGACAAGTTATTATCAAATTGTATCATAGTATCGGAGCTAAGGCTCTCAAAAAACTAGCCTCTCTTTTTTTCCGACCGCCGCCCACCATGGCAGCCCCGTCGGATCCTTTGGCGTCCTTACCCTCCGGAGTAAAACTTTTGCTTCGGAGTCTCCACAACTTAATCCCAGAAAAACTCACCGAAACAAATTATCCGGCATGGTCTCTCAATGTCCAGACAACTCTTTCAGCTAATCTCCTCCTTGGATGGATTGATGGTCATGAAGCAGCCCCGGCGCCAACTATCTCCAAAAACGATAAAACCGTCCCTAATCCAGAGTATACCTCCTGGACCATCGTTGACACACAGATCCGCGCCTGCCTCCTAGCGGTCATCAGCCCCTCCGTTCACAAACATGCTCGCGGCTTCACCACATCTGCTGCCCTCTGGGATGCTTTGGCCGCACGGTACAACTCCGTGTCCACCGCTCATGTTTATCAGCTTCGGGACAAACTCCACACTCTTCGTAAAGGTACCAAAACTATGACACAATACCTTGATGATGTGGCAACTATTCTCTCGGATCTCGATGCCTTGAAAGAAGAGATCCCTGAACGTGATGTGGTGAATGCTGTTATTCGTGGTCTTCCCACCGAATACTCATCCTTTAAGCAAAACATTCGCATGAACAATACCAATATTTCGTTAAATCAGCTTTCTGGATGGCTGATCTCCGAAGAAATAAACCTGGAGATGGAGAATAAACTCAGCCTCACCGAGTCTACCATCACCGAACCTCGCACAGCACTTCT